TTTCTTCTATTCTGATGCAATATTACATAATGGTTAACAGCATAATGACAATCAATTTTTAATAAAAAAATATACGTATCATGGATTTTCAGAAAATGTGACTAGCATGGGAACTTCCTGTGGAACTTCCAAAGTCACACCTTGAAATAGCCAATATGTGAAAAATTAAATTTTCACAAAAAAACTGTTTAACTGGCAGATTGCATTGCCTACTGAAGCTATATTTTAGTCCCATGTTTCTTTTTTCTGTAAGTTTGAGAACAGTAAGTGACATGGTTTTTCTTAAATGGTCATCATGGGAGCAGTGCCCAAAATAATTTTTTTTCAAATTTTGATGCAATATTACATAATGTTTAACAGCATAATGACCATAAATTTTAATAATAAAATATTAGTATCATGGATATTCAGAAAATGTGACTTACAAAGGTCTTCAGGCCCATGGAACTTCAAAGTCACAACTTGAAAATGCCAAAATGTAAACAAGACAGCACTGTTCTGAAATGTTTTTTTTTTTTTTTTTCATTTTTAACAATTTTTAACATAAAACAAAATTAGCAGTTTACTGCCATTTTTATATGATCAACCAAAAAAATTGATGAGATGGGAAAAATATCAATAGGGCAGTGTTAAATGTCCAATTTCTTCCATTCTGAGATTCTGAAGTGACATGGTTTTTCTAAAATGGTCATCATGGGAGCAGTGCCCAAAATAGGTTTTTTTCAAATTTTGATGCAATATTACATAATGTTTAACAGCATAATGACCATCAATTTTTAATAATAAAATACATGTATCATGGATATTCAGAAAATGGGACTAGCAAAGGTCTTCAGGCCATGGAACTTCAAAGTCACAACTTGAAAATGCCAAAATGTAAACAAGACAGTACTGTTCTGGATTTTTTTTTTCCATTTTTAACAATTTTTAACATAAAACAAAATTAACAGTTTACTGCCATTTTTATATGATCAACTAAGAAAATTGATGAGATGGGAAAAATATCAATAGAACAGTGTTGAATGTCCAATTTCCTCCATTCTGAGATTCTGAACATAGTGAATGATTGAATCTGACAAACTGCAATGATGAGTTTATTTCCATTTTTGACACTTTATTACACAATACACGATAACAGGTTTACCATCATTTTTACACAATCAACTAACAATGTTGTAAAGATGCAGGAAATATCAAACAAACATTTTTATGTATCTTATTAGTTCAATAATGAGACTGTTAACATGCCTCAGAATTGAATCTGAGGAAATGTGAAAAAACAGCATATCTTCTAAAATAAAGGCCTGATTATGCTGATTTTCGAACTCAACCTGCGTTTTAGTAAGGTTGACCACTCCTGTGAGTTTAATGACAATTAGCCTATCTAATTTTCTTCAAGCCCGTGGAGGTTCTCAGTCACACCTTGAAAATGCCAATAAATGAAAAATTAAATTCTCACGAAAAACTTTTTAATTGCCAGAAAAAATTACCAAACAGACTGCATTGCCTAATGAAGCTGTATCTTAGTCCCATGTTTCTTTCCTGTAAGTTTGAGTATAGTAAGTGACATGGTTTTCATTAAATTGTCATCATGGGAGCAGTGTCCAAAACAGGGGTTTCTTCAAATTTTGATGCAACATTACATAGTGTTTAACAGCATGATGACCATCAATTTTTAATAATAAAATATTAGTATCATGGATATTCAGAAAATGTGACTCGCAAAGGTCTTCAGGACCATGGAACTTCAAAGTCACACCTTGAAAATGCCAAAATGTGAAAAATAGCATTTGTGGTGCTTTAACTAGATAGTATAAAACTAATATATATATATATATATATAGTTGCCTTATTAATTTGAAGAATGTGCTCATGATGTAAAATTTTGATTTGATAAAAAGAAAAAAAAAACAATTATCTCTCCATTGAAAAGATTGAATAATTGCTGCATGTTGTTAAGCATTGTGAACTATTCTTATAGTAAACTTCCATTTTTTTCCTATTCATAATTTTTCTTTTTCAATTTATAATAGTAATAAAGTTGAAAAATGATGAAAAATGTTAAAACATAATAGGCATAAAAAAGGACAGTTAAATAACACAGCACATAATTTTTTTACCTGTGAAGTTTTGGTCAGTGTTGCTTGTATCAGTGATTGGAGTGATTGAACTATTCTCAGGTTTGCTGAAATTCTTATGGGTGATGGAGTTATCTGAAAAAGCAAAAAAGGAAACTAAACGTCAAGTAGGGCCCATACACAAACATTTAAACATTTTTCAAAAGCTTAAAACATGTATATTCATAGAAACAGATTCATCTAGGCAAGACAGATGGTGAAAGAGTTTTTAAAGACAAGCATTGACATACAAATAAAAGTTAGGTGTGTAAGACGAACAATATCTTACAGCAAGTTGATAACCGTGTATGATGACTGAAGAGTACATGAGCATAGCTAACACATTCTAGTCATCACTGTTAGTGAGATGTGAGTAAATGTCAACTGATGCTATTTCAAGTGAAGTCACCTTCGATTATAAGTTAACGTCACCTGAATGTACAAATTCTCTGTATAATTTATATATACACCATTGTTCTGACACCCTTCTCGTTTGCTTTCACAGAACTAAGGTAACTAGTTACCATCTGAAGTCCGATCTTAATCGTCCATCTAGCTGGAACTTGCTTTACCTCTTAATTAGAGGGTAAAGTACCCTTCAGCTCACAGGTAGCTTTTGTCTTGAGTGTATCGAACGCGATATTTATCTCAGATAAAAATCTACCTGTGTGTTATTTCAAAGAGCTGCTCCAGCAGACCTGGGGGCACTAGATAAATCTGATCATGGGGCTAAACAAGAAGCCAGAGAAACAAAGGAAGATTGATTTTTCCTGCAAAGTTTCAAAGAATTTTGACACGGACTTGATCCAGCTTAACGCCTCCAAACTAACGGGGTGGCATGGGCAATTTTTACAAAATTTACAACCAATTAAACTTAGATATATTACAATTTTATCCTTTAATATAATTTTGGGAGGCATGCAAGCTGGGTGATGTCAGTAAGCCTCTAGTTAAATAAATATACCCTTATGAGCAAGGCTTTTCCCAGCGAACCGTCCAGCCGTCATTTGGACGGCCGCTGACATCACCGAACGGCCTATATTTTCAAAGACGGCTTGCGACTTTTTTTAATGACGTCTTGGCTTGTCGGGACAGCCGTGGACGTTGTAAGAAATTTTCTTAGAGTAATTTGACGTACCTAGAATTTATGATGCGTCACAGATGAATGGTACTACTTTGTAGTGTACGCTGATATTCAGTCACGACGAAACTACTTGCTAAAGCTTACAAAACACAATAAAATGTTTCTATGAACTTTAAGATACACATTCCACGCCGTATGCAGCAGTGACAAGAGTGACCTTCATACGGTACAAAACACTAAGCAAACTACAGGCCAATTTGTGAAAGGGGACACCTTCCGGACCTTCATACGCACGGCAACTGACAAAGCTGATTGACAAAAAGGAAAATTCCAAATTTTCAGCGAGAGATCGTTCGCAATCCGAGAGAGACCAGGAGGCAATTTTCATATTTGTTAAAGAGACTTCGTAAGCCAAAGGGCGAGACGAGAACGCAATTTTCGTATCGTCAGCGTCGCAATCCGAGTGAAACGAGAAAGCTCATACTCGTTCAGTGGCTTTCGTTTGCGGCAGATCGTCAGCCGGAGATCGTTCTCATTTGTTTTTAACCCTCCATCCCTCCCCATTGGAATTTATAATTTTCAAAAATATTTTTCATTTCATTTGTACATTTCAAGGGACTTCATTAGCGGAAGATCGTCAGCGGGAGATCGTGAACGATCTGAGCGAGACAAGAAAGCAATAATGGTAATCTTTATTGCAGCTGTTAATATTGCTCTTTTGTTCTGTTACTGAAGTCTCTACTGTTAACAATGCTATTGTGCGCCTCAGCAAAACTACCGATCGCTATCTCACACCGAATACTGCGGTAAAGAAACAACAGCCCGACAGTACAACTCTTAATAGATTCTCCTGTTATCTAAATGAATGGATATGACGATGTTGTTTAGCGTCCTAAACTAACTGTACTGATCGTTATCTTGCACCTTGGGCCGCACACGTAGTACTCAGGTAAAGGTACGCTAGGGCAACATTGCCGACTGTTAGATCTTTATAAGTGCGAGAATAGCCCGGTGGCCGATTTTAAGGTGTACGAAATTCACGAAATGAAGATCGCGCAATATTGCTTACTGGCCGAAATTCATGGTCCAGAAAAAACTCCAGACGGCCGATTTTAAGATCGTTCGAAATTCAAGAGCCGTTCGAAATTCATGGCACTTTACCGTATATGTTTTTTAGTGAAGTATTCATTAATACCTATTATTCATAGCTGTCCTGCTAAAATGATATGTTAGAATCCTTCTGAACTTTAAATGGTTATTAAATATACCCACAGCAAACCAGTGGCAGCCACTGGTTAAACATTATAATTTTTTCCAGGTAATTTCACAGACATCAATGTGTGTTCCTGCCCAGAGTATAACTACACAGGAGGAAGATGTCAGCCAGGCACATACTGCCCCAGTGGTTCATCAGCTCCTGTACAATGTACTTCCGGGTCCTACTGTGACAACTATGAGCTGCCAACTCCCACAGGTAAGTAGACTCATAATTATCCCATGAGAGAATGACCTGCTTCACAAAATGGCTCGTGTTTTTGGGTTTGGCTTAGACTGGCCAAACCTGGATACCCAGCAATGCAAGTAGTCCGCATAAATGCAGTTGAAACACCTGAGTTTGTTATTGCCACGACTGGGAGTAAAAATGTATTATCAGAGTCAAATTTCTCTGTCATAGATGTAAGAATCCTTATCAGTCATTAATTAATCAGTTAAATCATTTATTTATTTCAGGTCTCTGTTCAGCTGGTTACTACTGTCCTGGTGGTAACAAGGTACAGAATCCAACACAATATTTGTGTACCGAGGGCGCATACTGTGAACAAGGATCGCCTCTGCCAACACCTTGTCCAAACGGGACTTTCTCCAACACCACTGGGAATGTGGAGCTGGCAAATTGTCTGAATTGTACTCCAGGTAAATTGTGATAGAGATAGAGTTTATTACAAGGTTGATGTAAACCATATGCCTTTTTAACAATTGTATCAGTACATGTGAATATTTAATATTGATATACAACAATATAAAAATGAATGAAAAAATGTGCAAGGGCACTATATTAAAAGCTAAATGGTTTCACATGACATCCTATAAAGTCTCCTGTAATTAATAATTATCTCATCAGGGTGTTTTAGAAATGATATCTAAAAAGAAAATTAGTTTCTGTCATCAAAAAAATTAGCTTCTAATGTTATGTAAACTATATTTATAATTTTCATCATATTTATCCTCTTTCCCCAGGTTACTACTGTAATGGTGTAGGACTGACCAGCGTGTCTGGACCTTGTGCCGATGGTTTCTACTGTCCAGGTGGCCAAAGTACAGCCACACCAGATGAGTTCAGATGTCCACAAGGATCAGAATGTCCATCTGGCAGCCCCTCGCCAGTTATATGTCAGAGAGGTAAAATTTTGTCTTCTTACACTGAACTTGTACACTCAAATGGTACAAATTCAGTTGTTCTGTTTGTGTTTAAGGAAAACTGTCATACACAGGAATAGTGTTCTATGTATTTTGTTAGGAGAATGTCTTTCCATTGTATTTCTTCAATTTATCTATCATATCAAAAATGCAATAAACAAATATGCACACATGTAAATAAATAAATAAATAAATAAATAATGGAAATATAGTTTTAGATGTGCAACAAATCTGTTAAGCATATTTCCTCTCTCTCAGGATTCTTCCAAAGCAATGAAGCCCAACCATCCTGTGATGTGTGTCCATCCGGCATGTATTGTGACCCCCATGAACTGGGCAATGTGACAGGCGTGGTGACCCCTGTGATGTGTCCAGCTGGCTACTTCTGCCCCAACAACACTCAGTATGCCACCCAGAATCCTTGTGCCCCTGGATCTTTTAGTAATAACACTGGACTGGCCGCACAGGGTGAGTGATAACAATAATGACAGATGACAAAGTGGATAGTAACTGTTGTAAAGCCTGGAAAAGTAATACTTTCAGTGCTGTAGGCTTTCTTACTGCAGCTGAAGTATTGATAAAACTTACAACCTACCCCCTACCCCCACATGGACTACAACCTGATCTGTAGCGTGACACTATTTTGTTGAATATACTGATAAGTGTATTGCCATCAGAACATTTCTCAATATATGTAGGTCTGATGAACAACAATATAACCTTTAATTATTATGAACATTATCAACAATTATATTAACTTTAATTATTATGATATAAATATTTCCTTAAAAAATAGCAATATTTGTCTGGTATTTATAATTTATTTCTCTCCACAGCTGACTGCAGTGACTGCACACCTGGGATGTACTGTGGTACAGCAGGCCTCACAGAGCCCACTGCACAGTGCCAGGCTGGCTATTTCTGTAATGGCCGGGCTAGCACTGCCACACCTACAGATGGAGCCACTGGTGACATCTGTCCTCAAGGATTGTATTGTCCTCAAGGATCGAGTGTGGGTGAGTCGTCTCTAGTGGCTCAAGTTCACCCTATGTTATGTTAAAGATATTAGCTCAATGAATAAGAGAATGACATGCAAAAAATCTGTACTGATTTGTAAGCACTCGATGTGAGGATCTCTCACCAGATGTGTCATGGTAAATCCATAAAGCAAAGTGACTTACTAAAAAAGGAAGACTGCAGTACCAGCTTCCCAAATGAAGTCTTTGCTTGTAACCTAAGCTTGACATTTACTAATAAAAGCTGTTGTGATCTGTTCCTCAGGTGTCAACTGCCCGATAGGTCGCTATGGCAACCAGACAGGTCTAACTACGTCAACAGAATGTACCCTGTGTGACCCTGGCTGGTACTGTCCCACACCTGGCCTCACTGCCTCCTGGGGAGAGTGTACTGCAGGGCACTACTGTGAGCTGGGGGCCACAGCAGCCAGTCCAAGGAATGAAACCTGGGGCTACCTGTGTCCTGTGGGTCACTACTGTCCACAGGGAATACCCACACCAACCCCATGCCCACAAGGGACATACCAACCTTCTGCTGATGGTAAGGGCTGTGCTTGGACAATACTGTTCACTGCACCTTTCTTTTTTTCTCATAACTATTTAATATTCATTTTTGAATTTATTGGGATAAAATTATATTGACAAAAAAGTTCATTTTTATACTTTAATTTTCAAATTGGTAATTGATGATTTTCCAGTATTTTATATCATGTTGGAATTATCACCATGGAATAAAATTTTATTCACCAATTGATTCATTTAGATTTTCTGGATGTTAAATATCCTGACCCATACCAGAAGTGATATATTTTTAAAAGTGTATTATGAAAAAATTATGTTGACTATGGTAATATATATATTTTAGGAAAAGCCAATGTGACAGACTGCCTAGCCTGTGATGCAGGTTACTACTGCCAAGTATCTGGAAGTGAAAATGTCACCAACCAGTGTAGTCCAGGTTATTACTGCCAGGGCGGCGCCAACGTCTCCACTCCCACAGGTAAAACTAAAATGGGGTCCACTTTTGATTAGACTACAGGGGTAGTGTTTATTTATATATGAAGAAAAAATACTTTTCTATGTGTTGTGATGATTAACATTGAAATATTGCATCACCTGGATTAATGATCAACATGGATTTTTTTGGTTGATTTGTTATTAATAATGAAGGCTTGTAAACTTATCTCTAGAAAATTTCTCTCAATCAAGTACTCATAGATTTTGAGATAAGTAGATTAGAAAGTGATAGTTTACCAACATTGGCAAAGAAAAAAAAGAGAAAATTCTTGCAAAGTTCATAAAACAACATTGCTTGATAATCACCATATGCATTTCAAAGGGCCTTGTTTTTTTCTCTCCCACCAGATGGTGTGACTGGAGACATCTGTCCAGCAGGACACTACTGCCCTCTAGGGTCAGGTTCACCAACCCCTTGCAGCAATGCCACTTACATGAACCATACTGGGGCATCAGAGTGCTACCCATGTCCAGCTGGTCACTACTGTGTCAACAGGGACAGAGCTGACCCCTGTCCACAAGGGTTCTACTGTCCAGCCAGTACTGGTGCTGATATACAGCCATGTCCAGTTGGTGAGTTTTATCCTTCTTAAAGAAGCCAATGACATTTTGCTGATTTGTTTGTGTGTTAATTATTCTTTTCAGAACTTGAAGCAGCTGTCAGTTGTTGCTGTGTTGGAAAAAATGTACACACATTATATGCTGTACATGTGATTAACCTCAAAAGAAGTATAGGTTGATTTTTTAAAGAAATCACCATGAATCAGAAAAGTTTATGTTAAAATGTATGTATATTTAAGTGTATTTTAAAATTCTGCATGGAATGTTCTTGTGAACATCTATAGATATTTTTAGTCTGAAGTGCAAATAAACACATTCTTGTCTTATATTAGGAACATACGGTGCCACCATCATGCTTGCAAATGAAACAGACTGCAACCCCTGCACTGGTGGTTTCTACTGTGCCACCCCAGGTCTCCCTGCACCCACTGCTGCCTGTGACGCTGGATTTTACTGTACTTCAGGTAGGGTTGATCTATATTGAAGATATTTTTGATATATTTTGACAATTGATTATTGCAAAAAATTGAAGCAATCTAAGTATCCTTTAGAGTTATGGGAGTGTATGCAGGTAGCTTAAAACAATTTTAAAAATGCCTGGAGTTCATTGTGTGTGATGAAACATAAAGCTGTTGGATCATATGCTTTGAACACAAACGCATCAAATAACAAAATTAGCTGGTAATATAATTACACTTAATATTTTGCCATGACACAGTTATAATTGGGATGTTGTATGATGCCATGTTAAAGACTCACCTCTTTTTATCATCCCAGGAGTGAACATCTCTGCTCCTCAAGATGGTGTCCCTTACACGGGACAGGGTGGACTCTGTCCCATGGGATCTGACTGTCCCGGTGGCTCTGCCTATCCCACCATCTGTAGGGTTGGGACATACACCAACCAGACTGGGACAGCTGCTTGTGATACCTGTCCTGAAGGTAAAATAGTTTTATTAGTCTAAGAATAAGAATGGAATTTTATATAGAATCAATTTGGCAGAGACAATTTATGCCTTGAAGTTTCCTACAGCACTACTCAAAACAATTCAAGTAATTTGAATTATATATATTATATATTTTGAGTGATGGATTGTACATTGCAAGGGGTAAACGTGCACTCTGTGGTTTGTGTGTGAAGAGGCCAAATATGGATATTTAGAACAAGACACTATGGATTTTGTAGGATAAATCACCTGTTTTACTATTTAAGAACTGGTAAAAATGATACCTTTTTTCATTTATATTTATGTAGGTTTCTTCTGTGTGAATGAGACTATCAACCCAGAGATGTGTCCAGCTGGTCACTACTGTCCAGCAGGCACAGAGTTTGATGTCCAGTACCCATGTCCTGCTGGCACTTTCAACAATGATACAGGTCAGTGAAATTGTTTTGACTAACATTTTGAATTACTTTTGAGAAATAAAAGTAACTTTCATAGAGTGATATGATTTTTTCACACAAATTTACAGGTCTAAGGAGGCAAGAATTTCTGTAAATACTTTTTGATGAAAGGAGTATATGGTTATATTTATAAATGAAAAATATTGAGATGATGTTTGATAGATTATGTGCAAGTCCTCTTTATGAAGTATAACAGTATAACATTTTCAAAGACAAGGTTTATGTCTACTGTAAAGCATTAGGGCATCTTTTCAATGTCTACCCAAAACAAACACCATGTCTTATATTCTTGTCATCTTCTAGGGGCCAGTAACTTGACCAACTGTGTCCAGTGTTCCCCAGGGTGGTACTGTCATGGCACAGGGAATGTAGTGCCCACGGGTCAGTGTGATCCTGGCTTTTACTGTCCAGGAGGGTCATACCAGCAAAGACCATTTGACTCTGGAGTACTGGTCAATGTTTCAGGATCTCTACAGTAAGTGCTAGTTACATAATATGTCATTGATAAATCTTCAGAAAATTTATATTGAAATAATAATGGAACCTATATCAATAGAAGTTGGAATGTTAAAATAACAGAATTAGGTTTAGGTTAATTTAGTAAAATGCCTATAATTATATGATGTGCTATGTACAATACCTTTATAAAGAGTGTTAGGGTAATTAACAACAACAACAATTACCAATAACAATGTAGAAAAACTTAACATACATTGACTGTTTCTTTGAGACGGGTTAATTATTATTATTTTTTTTTTTTTAAATTTTTTTTTTGAATGAATATTGTGATTATACACAAAAGTAGAGAGTGTAAGAAAATGTAAAATATTGAAAGATTGGTTGCCAATTAGTAGTACTATTGTGACCTGAATGTAATTAATGTCTCATTTTAGGAGTCTCTTCTCCAATGACACCTGTACACCAACCTGGGACTGTGTCTGTCCATCTTTCCTAATGACCACTGGTGGTGTGTGTCCAATTGGCTACTACTGTCCACAGGGCTCAGCCAACCCACTGCCTTGTGATGGCGGGAAATATTGTGAGAGTCCAGGACTAGCCGAACCTACAGGTGAGATTTTAACTACTTCCTAATGGACTACCTTATTGTCTGTGTATGAAGCAGACTTTTCTTGCTTTATTGTTCTACCTGCATAGCCAAGGTAAGATAAATACACAGTCTTACATATATTTGAGTAAAGAAATACGCAAGTTATTAAATTTAGTTTCAACTTCAAATAATTCTTTATAATTATTATTTTCTTGCTAGTTTTTGCTTTCTTATTTTGAAAGNACCCCTATTTTGGGCACTGTTCTCATGGTGACCATTTAGCAAAAATCATGTCAATTACTGTTCTCAAACTTACAGGAAAGAAACATGGGTCTAAAATACAGCTTCACATACAGCTCATATTAGAAAACCAGCTCTATTGGATTATCATTTTTATTAAATTTATGCATTTTTTGTGAAATTTTCATTTTTCTCATTCTGGCACTTTCTAAGTATAAACTTGAATTCTGATGGGCCTGAAGCCTTATGCTTTTACTTTCATCAGTGTTACCTGTTGTGCATAATTAAAATTTGATGTTGACTGTGCAGTTAAACATAATGTATTATTGCATCAGAATTGGCAGTCTCCTGTATTTGTGCATTATGGTTTTCTGCTTTTCTTAAGGTGTGACTTATGAGCCTGAAGACCTTTGATAGTCAAATTTGTGTGGTCAGTCCGTAAATTCCCCTTGGGTATTCACTGGGCTAATTTCAGTGCTATAAACTCATTTGCCTAATTAAGGGGCCATTAAATGAGATTTAATAAAGCACACTTGTTGATATTTCCCTGTAAACTTCCAAAGGTTAAGCTCTCTGCTAGATAACATAGTGTCCATAATAAGGAAGCATGGATAGCAGCTTCATTGGAATTATATTTTTGTTGTTTTCTTTTTAATTTTTTCTCCAACACTGGCATTTTTAAGATGTGATTTTTAACTCCCATTCACCTGAGGCTCTAACATTTTCAGTATTTCCACATAAGCAGTTGTATTGGTATTTATGTCTTTAAACACGCTGTAATATTATTTTATGCACTGTCATCATTTTTCATATATTGAGACTTTCATCATGTGAATTTTAACTCTCATGGTCCTGAAACTGTAATCTTATTGAAGGGGTGGATTGAGACCATCTTCTGGGTCTCCTGGAAGTCAGTCAGATTTTAAAGTTTATATTAACGGGTTTCTGTTGGAAGACCATCAAAATGGAGGATAGATCAACAAAGATACTTTGGTATACTGTCAGAAAATACCTCTGGATCTGCTCCTGTTATTGACCATGTTACCTCTTTTGCATGATTAAAAATCAGTGTTGACTGACTGTGCTATTATAAGCATTTATTATTGCATCAAAATTGACAAAATGACCTATTTTGCATTTTTTTTTCTGTTTTTTGTCTGTACATTTGACAGCTTTGCTGCCTTGTTTTGTATTCCATACGGTTTTCGAGTTACGCTGTATCAAAAAGTACATATTGGTGGTGAAAGCAAAATGTGCAGTACGGTAATGGATAATAAATTTTGAACCTCAGTAAAATAAAACATAAGGATTGGCGAGGCAGACAACTTGTGGTCAAAAATGACATTATTTCATCAAATTTGAACATCTGGAACTACAGAGCACCTCCCATTTCAAGAAATTTGACCAAAATGACCTTTTCTTTATTTTAATTAATTTTTTCTGTAGGAAATTTATGGCATATTATTGTAACTCCAAAATTATAACATTTAGTCCCTTATATCTCCAAAACTGGCAGAGATAGGTCTGTGGTTACTATTGTACTTGAATAGGAAGTCATATACTGGCAATCTAAATGTGACCTTGAAATTGACCTTTGACCTACTTTTCATCATGAATTGAACTTTGCAAATTTGGGTTCCCTTTTATCTCCAAAACTGGGAGAGATAGGTCCATAGTTTCTATTGAACTTGAATAGGAAGTCATATACTGGCAATTTACTGTGACCTTGAAATTGACCTTTGACCTACTTTTTACGATGATCTGAACTTTGATTGTACCTTTTTTTTTTTTTTTTTTTTTTTGCATATTTTGAGAATTCTTGTTGATTACATTTTTACTGCTTGTCAATCACAGGAATGGTAGTGGTGTCCCTTTTTTTTTTGGGTTGGGGGGTCCATACAAATGTGCTTACTCCAGCTTGTGGTACAATATTTGGAGGCGGTATCGCCTCTCTGATCCTCTAGTTATTCTGTAATTTATTATGTACTGTTACATCAAAATTGACAAAAATCTTTTTGCACTGCTACTACAAACATTATGAAAAGAAAACTGTNTAATTAAAATATGATGTTGAATTTGCAGGTACGCATAATGCACTTTTGCATCAGAATTGACAGTAGCTTATTTTGTGCATTGTTATTTTCTGCTTTTTGTCTGTACATTTGACAGCTTTGCTGCCTTGTTAATGAAAACTATAAAAATATAAATTGAAATGAGGAGTCAAAATGGCAGCTTGATGTTGCCTCATTGAGGCATTGCACTGTGCTAAAATTTATCCTTCTGCTGTTTTTGTTGTTTGCCTGATCCCAATATACTCAGGTTCACTGCTGTAGTTTACCTAGTGGCAAGCTGATATACTATTTCCTGATTCGGTCACTGGTATTATGGAGGAGATGTGAATACTTGTTGAATTTTTATTGTGCCACCAGCAGGGTGCAGGCAGTACACATGGCTTTAGTCCTGACCCTTCTTGTTCCCTGGGTTCCATGGGCCCCGCCGCCATGTCACTGTTACTGCTTCTCTTCCTAGACTACAAGAGCCTGTGTACCCATCTCCTGGGTGTAGGTCACATATAATCTCAACTAGATCCATTTAAATTTTAGGCTTGGTCAGTGCACTGGTCTAGGTGTGTTGCTCGTCCCAATGCAAACTTGTAAAAAATATGAAAAATATAATACTAAATATCTCCCAAACTAAAGGAATTATGGAAAAACATTAATATAGATGTCTATCCGAAAGTCATGTGTACATTTAAAATATTTTGGATTTGACCTTAATTCAAGGTCACGTGGGCCAAAATTTTCTAAAAACGGGAATTTTTGTGCCTCTTTTCAGAAACTACACAGACCTAACCTATAATATTATGGGCAGGTGTTATACTTACCGTCATCTTTCATCTACATGAGATTGAGGTCAATCAGTTCATTATCATGGGAGAAGCAGCCATTAGATGCTGAAACTGAAAACTCTCTCTAATTTTGGAACCGCAAATGCTAGAGACCTCTTGTTTGTTGCATTTTGTAGAGCTTTCCAGCATAATACTGAAGGTGGTGTCTGTTATTTTCCATACAGTTTAAGAGTTATGCTATATCAAAAATTATAACATCGCAATATTCAGTGGTGAAAATAAAATGTGAAATACTCCGAAATGACAGAGATAGGTGTATAGTTACTATGGAAGTCATGTTAAATCATTAGATGAAATTACCAACTTCAGGGCTCTCCAATAACTTTTTCAGCCACTTGCCCTCTGGGCAAGTGACTGGCAAAATCTACTTGCCCGAACTGGAAACTCGCTTGCCCGAATTTTGCCATACAAAAAATGAACAGAGTGTTTATATCTTTCTTCATTTCAGTTTTATTCTGGTGTTTGGGGTTTCTGTTATGTGAAATATCTGAAATAGTATAGTAATATTAGTACCCACTGTCCAGTATGGAATTCATATTGATATCAAAGTTGCTGCTTACAGTGCTATAAATGAATGTAACTTAGGGAGTGGCTATCAGCTATATTCAGTCAAATGGAGCATTTTGTTCCTATGTTAAAGATGCATATAAAGTCAATTTTTTGCCACAAAAGCCAACCAAATGCCAGCATATAGTTTCAGAGTAGTATAACTAAGAGAATTACCAAAAGGCATTGTATAATATTACCTGAAAATGATGTTTGAAACTTATTTTTTTGCTAGCATTCTATGCTGTATGTCAATGGGGCAAAAAATAGGTCACGAAAGTAGGTTAAATTTTTGACAAAAAATTTAAAGAAAGGAGCAGTCTAAAGCTCTTTTATGAATGAATATTTGGTTAAATTGATTTTTGTTTTCATGATGAAAGGACCAGAATGTATAAATGACATTGAATATTATGGTCATTTCCACTACTTTCTTTTTGATTCAAGGCAGGCATTGGCCATGTTTCCACCACCTGAGGGATCTTTCAAAGAGTTTGAACTGAAAGAGGATGAGAGAGAGAAATTGTGGGCAGAGGTAGAGAGAAGGGACTTGTCAGGAGAGGACAATCAGGCATTGTTCCAGGAAATGGCCGCTCTGAAGAAAAAGACCAAAAAGCCTAAGGTAGATTTTTTGGGCCTATTCAAGTGTGAACCTGTTCTTTTGCATATTAGATATTTTGACATTACAGTTCATTGATACCTTTTGTTAAGATATTGATTTTATTTATGGAAACATCCAAGTGATAACCATGTCTTGTTAGCAAAGTATTGGTCAGTTGATAAGTTTTTAGTAAGGATGTTGGTTTTACTGGTAAAGTTCACTGCCAAACCTGGCAGAGATACACCCTTGGTTACCATTGAACTTGAATTGGAAGTCACATACATCTTGTGACTTTGAATGTGACCTTTGACCCATTTTTCCTCATAAAATTTGTATATAAAGTCGGCATATTTACCAGACCCCATTTTACATAACTAAAACCAATACCTCCATAGCTACCATTTAATTTGAATGATGTAATCTCACTGGTGGTGAAATACAATGCGGCAGTATGGTGACTGTGGTCTTCTGGCATTTGGTGGGAATAAGTTGCTCTGAGTGCTATTATTAGTTTTATATGACATTTTGCATTATGTTTCTTAGTGTTTTTGTTTCTCATATAGAAGAAAGCAAACCCAGATAATGGTCCATGGTGGCATAAAGGAATTGGACCAATTGAGGAAGTCAATATACCTGGTTGTTGGTTTTTCAAGATTCCACACAAAGTAACAATTTAATTTTCTTCTTTTATTCTAAAATCCTATTTTAAGATACTTTGATATATAACAGTCTATTGAACAGTGTCCAAACTACGAACTTTTTCCTTAATCATTTGCTGGAACTGATTATCTATATACCTGCCTGTCTGTCTGAAGAATATTTTCAATTATTTTATAACAGAATGGCCCTGATGAAAAGGTTGGCAACATCCTATCCAGAACTTTTTACAGCAAGGTAGAGAATGGAGTTCTTGGTACTGCTATGGGTCTACATGCTGATGTCGTCTTGAAAATGGTCCCAGTGATATCTTACTGGGAAGGTTCCAGAGATAGAATTATGTGAGTCATATGTGGTTTTCAATCTCTATGAATTTTATGTCAAATGACACTCAGTCTATTAATTTTTTGTTATACTTGTAGTAGACAATTGAAATGGAATAATTACCAACTTGAATTTTTTCCCCCAATAATCACACCAGCACTGATTTCACTATATGGATTCACAAATTTTGTAGAAACCAAATGGCTGTGTGGCTGGACAAAGACAAACTTCCCCCTGCAGTTACTAGGTAAGATCTTTCTCTACGTTTGCTATTTAAACATCTATCCTTGATATTTGTCAACAAAGCTCACATCCACTAGAAAAGAATGGAGAAAATTTGATTTTAACATGTCTTATGACCTTTTTTCTTTTAAAAAGTGATATATTTTTGAGAAATATTTGGATTAAGAACTTTTTCAACATTAATCCTATTGAATTTAAGGGATGGCTTGAAGTTCTTTAATTTATTTGCAATCTTTTAGTTAAATTTTAATGTGAAATTTGTTTTATATTTACAAAACTTGGAATTTAGTCAGGCGTTGTGAGTATTCCCCCATTAATGGTGTGTAAAATGTGTTATCTACTTTCATATCCTAAAAAAGGGTTCTTAGCATTATCCATGTGAACTCACATGCAATGAGGCAATGAACATTACCTAGCTAGTTGCTCACTCTATATTGTATTATCAAAAATTGGTGTGAAGCATTTTGCATCAAAATTGAAGAAAACCCTAATTAGGGCACTACTACCATTATGATCATTAAACCAAATTTTTTCATGATTCTCAAACTTACAGAAAATATTCATAGGACTGAAATACAGCTTTAGGTGGAAAACCAGCTTGATGTGATTGTTATTCATGAAAATGATGCATTTTTTGTGAGATGTTCATTTTTGCAGATTGGCATTTTCAAAATGTGACTGAACTCCATGGGCCTGAAAACCTTTACCAGTCACTGTCACATATTCTGAATATCTGTGATACTAAAAGTGTGTCATTTAAAATTGGTGGTGATTATGTTGTTAAACATTATGCAATATAGCATCAGAAACCTCCAGCCACCACACACACCATTATAAAACTGTTACTTATTGTGCACAAACTTATACAGAGATTCTTAAAAATAAACTACAGCTTAAGTTGTAAACACAGTCCAGAGAGCAATGTAATATTGCTTCAAAAGTGACAAGAACTATTTTGTGCACCACCATCACAAACAGTATTTAAGGAAAACCATGTTACTTATTATTCTGTAACTTGCAAAAATCATTCTTAGGGCGTCTAGCTCATGTTGGAAACACAGCTTGATTGGGTTATAAAGTTTGCCGTGAAATTATCATTTTTATGTACAGACACAGATGTGTCTGTACATATAGCCGTCATCTGTGTCTGTTGTCGCCGTCGCCGTCGTCGCCGTGCACTTTTACCGATAACACATTAAGTGGAAAACCGTTTTTTCTTTTGGCTTGAAACTTACAGAACTGATGAATATTCATAATACGCTGGTCGAGTTCGAAAATCAGCATGATCGGGTCACTTATATGGAATTTATGCTGTTTTTATGTACAGACACAGATGTGTCTGTACATATAGCCATCATCTGCGTCTGTCGTCGCCGTTGTCGCTGTCGTCGCCGTGCACTTTTACCGATAACANTGTATAACATATTAGTGGTAACCAAGACCACAGATACAGAATATTAAACAAGAAAAGAAAAGGGTGAATCTTTCTGGAGAGGTTTCATGTAGTATGTGACTTTCTGAAACATTGGACCCAGTAATAAGAGTAATATAAAATCAAAACCTCCCATACGGCCTTAACAAATTCACAATAGGCATTTACAAATAGACGAAATTCTGGGACGGCAATCAATTTGCACTGGAGGACAAGACTGTGACTGGATGGTGAATGATGACAGTGTTAAAGAAATTAAGCATGCATACAAAATAAAACCCACAAGTTGAGATACAATTTGACAACAGGCCACATAAATCTGTTGTAAAATGCAGTAAAAATCCTTGAAATATATGAAAAAGCACACTGTGACATAAAAAGCTAATGACACAACTGTAACTCACAACAGTGGCTATAAAAATACTATTAAGCGTGTAAATTATCTAAAAATACAATATATATATTACAAATATATTAAATGCAACAGATAGGGCTGGAAGCTCTGCATGAAATTAATGTGATTTCTAAAAGCACATATTTTCTATTCACAAAAGAAAAGCTAAAACTATTCCCTGCATGCCCACTAAATAAACAATGAATAAATAAATAAATAAGTGAACAAATTAACAAATAAATAATAAAAAACTCTTTAAATTAGATACTGTACAGTAGCCCAGTAAAGTGACCTAAGTATATAAAATCTGGACAGAAATATAACAGAATTGTAATACAGTTACTTGCACTTTGTGATCTTTGGTTTAGTAAGTATTGTGCAAGGGCAGATCTAGAGAAGCATGCACATGTCTCTCTGAACTGCTTCTTTTCTTTAATGTGCAAACAAGCTGAAGAATCAACAATAATCATTTAAAGAAATCAAAAAGGATATGTTTTTTAAGTGATATGTGACATTTCAAACCTTTGGACCCAGTGAAAAGAGCAACAAAAAATCACAACCTACTGAAAAAAGTATTTGAAATCCACAGGAAGGATTAATAAACAGACCAAAATATGGGATGGCGATAAAATAGCCTCAAAGCATTATACTGAGTAAAGCAAAGCAATAAATAATCAAAACTAAATAATAATAATTATTTTTTAAAATAACAATAAATAAACAAACCTCCCCTGAAGATCTGCCTACACTGTTCAAGTATAACTAATAGTTAACATCAACATTAGGCTGACACCAGGACATGATATGGGCAGTGGAATAAAGTGATAAAACTAACAGCAATACATATATTAAAACACTTGTATAAAGATATATGCACACTAGTAACAATATTGAATATATTTGTGCTAGAAATAGAAAAATTAGGACGGTGATCATGTAAACGACTGTATTTATACAAAATTTAAAACAAAATCCTTAACAGTGAGAAATGCATAGATCTGTGCAAAGAGTATAAAGTCAGGACGGAAAGCAGTGCATAAATTGTACCAACATCATCAATCTAAAGAATGGCGACTTTGTCTTTTTTCAAAAAACTTATATAGTTGTACCCTTGGAATAATGTGGAATACGCTTCAACATTAACTAGGAGACAAAATAGGTCTCTGAATAGTTTTCCTTGTCAGTTATTGGCAACTCTTAAAAAAGCAATAATATCAATATACAAAGCCTTGGCTTGGTAAAATATAACATTTAAAATATATATCAGGCAGGAGAAAACAATTAAACTGCCCTTATTAGCATAAGCTACAAACCTGTGGAATGGCAAACTGTGCTTAATATTTGGTCCCTTTATAAAAACAACACTGACAAAAACATGGACAAAAAACATGATATGCACTATAAGGCATTTGTTTAACAATAATGAATGCAAGAGTGGGTGAATATACTGTATCAAAATATTGTGAAAGTCACAACCCTATGTTATAATCTCAAGATCTACCCAGAGTATACACCAGCTGAGATAATCAACCAGATACTGGGGAAATTTTTTTATCGAAATTCATTTCTTTGACATAAACAATAGCAATGAAAATATTGCTCATTTCATTCATGACAAGACATGATTGTGAATCTAACTTGCTAATATGAATTCACTAAGAGTACATCAAATGTCATTCACTCCCATATTTAAGTGTCAGTCCTAGCTAACAAAGGCAATGTCTTTAGAACCAATTTCTTCTTAGTGGCCATGAAATCATAGAGGTCGTCTAGGGTAAGGTCCTTGGTGGGTTTTGTATCCACTTCCAGAATCTCATCACCCACGCTGAGCAGACCAGCGAAAAACTTTTCAGGGTAACCATCACTTAGTCTGGAGATAAATATACCTGAAACAATAGAAAGAAAATAAATTTTATTCATTATGGCTTTAGACAATAGATCTGTGAAACATGTATTCCCTCACAGACAAAATAGTTTGGTAAATGGCATGGCGTAAAGGTCTCTATTTGTATACTTTTACATTCCTAAAATAGTCTATGCTAATTTTATTCAAAGTGTGAAGACCCAAAAAAGTTGAGCACCTTTACAATACCATAAAATTAATAGTGCACCTGGCTGAATAAGCACACCAAAACCTAAGTAAAAACTGATCTTTCTCCTCACTTTCAGCTCATCCATTCATACTCAGTCACTACATTAGTGATCAAACACATATCCCCTTACCAGGATTAAAAAATCGCCTTTACTTAAAAAAAAAAAAAAGTATATAATTTTTCTTAACATATAACAAATTAACAACATCAATTATCAATATATTCAATCCTATCAAAATATAGCATACCATGCTTGAACTTGGCATTCCCTCTGGCAATATAGAAACCAAAGGGTCCATGGGGTGGTTTCATCAGTTCAATAACCTGAGACCCGTTCGAGTTGACAGACAGGAGGCGCCCTATGGCTCGCCCGTGTGTGGGGCTCTCCACTTCTTCCGGTGAGGCGATGGAGTGACGACGCAGGTGCTGGGAAGACTTTTTGGGAGTTTGGGCACTGGTGGGTCTTTTCTTGGATTTCCTGGAAATGTTTTTTTTTTATTATTATTTACTAATAGATGTTCTGACTGACTGTTCTCATGAAAAGAGAAATATTCTTCAATGAAAGATGAGTGCTCTGCTGCATATTGCTGTCAGCATGAGATAATTTTTTTTTTCAATTTGGACACACCAAGAATATCATACTATGAAGTCTTCTTTCGTTATGCAAGTCTTACTGTTTTATAAAAAAAAAAACAAAAAAAAAACCCTTACGTACTTCACAACAGTGACGCAAAAGATAAACCTGTTAGCCGAATAATGTGAGAAAAAGATTACCGAAGGCAAGAAGCTTAGGGACAGCATTAGCTCTACTGATTGTGAAGCATAAGCCAATTCTTGGTCCATATGGTGTTATACAGGACGCTAATGTTCTTACTTGTCTTTTACTGGAACCTCAATATCCACTGCTTGGTTACTGGGTCTGTCCTCTTTTTTCTTACTGAAGCTCAGCCTGAGAGATTGCAGTGACGGAGCTCTCTTGACCTTCACTTTTCCAGGTTCCTTGGAATCAGCAGACTCGCCTCTCTTATCGATCCTACAGTAGAAAAATAAATGCTGGTTTGATGAGTCATGTTTTAATGTTTTTTTCTGTGTAACACACTGATTATTAGTCTAGGAAAAATTCAAACAAAATACAATTACCAATAGGATTTCATAAATAAAGTTGCGCTGATAATGTTAGAATTTCCTGGTAAAAAATATAGGGATTTAATTCCTATATTTTTTACCAGGAAATTTTAAGAAGTGAGTTGATTTCAAAAAAGAAATTTTGTGTGACGTTTTTGAATAACAAAAGTAATCAATATTGATATGATAATATAACTGGATTATGTAGTGTTTGGCATTTGTAAAGAAGCACATGGTGAGAACTAATAACAAAATTCTGAATGCAAATCCCAGTACTGATTCAAAATCTCTATTCTAATAAGTAAAATAACCACATAAATTACAGAGGAAGAAAACACATAAAGGTTAGAGAGAGTGCTCAAATATACAATAAAATTATATCAATGAAACCTGCATTTTGGTCTTAGAAGAGGGCATTTCAAGATCAACCAATTTCATAAACTTTGAATACATCACAAAAAGTAAAATTCCTCTAAAGAAGGAACAATTTCCAACTGATCAATGAAGAGTACAATAATCTAATCAAACCAATACATGTAATCTAGTCTTGTCTTACCTGTCCAAGCTCATGGCCCTCTTTATTGCTTTAAACTTGCTCTTGGCTGATCTCCTGAGACCTTCCATCCGGTCCATTAGAGATGACCTTGACCCACTTAGTTCCTTAGACTCTTCAAGATTGCTAAAATTCACAGAGAATATTTCTATAATATTGTAAAACAAAATGGAAAACTAAAATATACTGTAACTATGAATTTAAATTATTTTATATATGTAAAATTAGAAAAATTAATATAAATTGAGGTAGAAAGATGAGAATAGGTTTTGTTCTAATAATAATTCAGAAAAATAACTAGAGGATCAGAGAGGCGATACCGCCTCCGGATATTGTACCACCAGCTGGAGTAAGCGCATTCGTATGGACCCCCCCCTTCCAAAAAGGGACACCATCACCAGTCTTGTGCTTGACAAGCTCTATAAGATGCAATCAATAAGAGTTCTCAAAATATGCAAAAAAATATAACTAAAAATGGTACAATCAAGCAGATTTTCGAATTGACTTGCATTTTCCTACCCTTGATCACTCCTGNCGGTATCTTATGGCCGCTTCTCCCGTGAAAATGCACCGATTGACCCCAAATTCACGGAGATAAAAGATGACCCAAAGGGTAACACTTTCCAATAATATTATTGGTTAAGTCTGTGTAGTGTCTGAATAACAGCGCAAATAATATTTTTTTTGTAAAAAATTTCATTTTTTTGAAAATTTTGGCCTGTTTGACCTTGAAATAAAGGTCAAAGGTCAAATCCAAGGGCATATTTGAAATCTACACATATGACTTTTGGAAAGCTGTCTGTAGAAATTTTTCCCATAATTCCTTCCGTAGGGTAGATAATTGGCATTGAATTTTCAAAAATTTTGACAAGGGTGCATTTCAACAAGCGTCACGCCCAGGTTAATGCACCGACTGAGACAAAAAAATCTGTGGGTTCAAGTTGAGGTTATATGTGACCTAAATCCAAGAGATGGGGACAGGGGTCCTTGCGGTCTAGGAGGAGAAGCGGTAACGGTGACTTGTATCCAGCGCCAGTACGCGGAGCCGGCGGAGCTTACGGAGCCGGCGGAGCCGGCGGAGCCAACGGAGCCGGCGGAGCCGGACGAGACGGGTCGGGACTAAAACCATGAGTACCGCCAGCGTACACGCTGGTGGTACTAATAATAATTTACTGAAAAGATTGCAAGCCAGTCACAGGGGTTGAAGTTGTACATAAAATTCATGTTGTACGTAAAATATTAAGAGCATTGCAGTAGTAATAAAATTATATATGTTTGAATGAAACTAAGGTTTGGCTTCTTTTCTTGTAATTGCTTACTAATTTTGATATAAGAACAAATTCAGCATATTGTCAAGTTATAACATCTTCTTATGTAAAAGAGACTGAGATATTCATAGTCAAGAGCCACATAAAATTTATCAGGGATGAGACTGCAATTAAGTGAAAAAGTTGGAAATGTGGCCTGGATTCCAGGGTGCCACCTAGGCCAATGATAGCTTTGGTTCCTAAAAAGTTTGAAATCTGCTGAGAGTCCAAAATATCTCATCCCTTATTCATTCCAGCATCCTTAACTAGCCTGATTATTCAATATCTCATGATTTTCTCACTTACCTCCTATATCTCCTTCTTGGAAGAGTTGGCGTGTCAAGTTCTTCAATCTCATCATCTCCTCCCACTACAATGCAGGGGTTACTGACAGGCAAAGGATCAGGTGTACGACTCCTCACATTATCTGGTGTGCGACTCCTTGGAAGCTTGGCTGACTTGTCAACAACAGCATAGATGGCACTAGTGGTACCATTAGGCTGTTTGACATTGGCATCACCAGTCTCTGGTTGTGGTGGTGGAGCTTCAGGATTTGGATGATGTTCTTTACTGATATCGGCACTATTTGGTCTGGAACGGTTTCTTGGTGGTTTGCTCATTACTTGGCCCTTGCTGTTTAAACCAAAGGAAGAATTCATTTTGTTTTCCTCTGCTGCTGCTGATGTATTGCTAAGGTCAGTGATAACCTCCACCGTCTCATAAGGATCATCCTCTGTTGACAGAGACAGGCCACTTGGGGTCATTCTTGCAGCAGAACTGGAGGATTTTGTGGGTTTTTCACTATGTGGGGGACAGGTATATTCTACTGTATCATAATGTGGTGCCCTGGAATCCTTGCCTGTTGATAACCCTTCTCTTTTATTTTGTGGTGGATTTTGTTTGTCTGCTCTTGATGAAGGTCTCTCATGGACACTGTCTGCAGGTACACTACCACTGAATAACCTTGAGTCATTAGTACCACCATCTTTATGGTCTAGCCACAATTTCTCTGCATGGTCTTCTCCTGAGAATCCATTGGATAAGAAGTGACTGTTCTGCGGTTTTATTTCTTGTCCATCATCTACACTGGACTCCCGGAGATACTTGCTATCTAAGCCTCCAACTGGTTGAGATGGACCTAGAGCTTCTTGACTCTGTCCAGACTGTGCTGCCATCTCTGGAGAAAGGTGGAAGGTAACAGTTTTATTGGCAGATTTTAATTTTGGAGTCCTAGATCTAGACATGTGATAAGCCTGAGTCGTGTTTTGAGGAAGACTGGGAGAAAAGGTGGTTTGAGCCTGAGAACCGAAAGGGATAGCCTGTGCACTTCCAGGTCTAGCCTTATCATGAGCCTGACTGAGAAACTTTGGGGTATCCCTCTTGTTGTCTCTACCAACTGGCTTTTCATCAATATAAACCCTGGAATTTTCCATATCAAAGTTAACACTATGTCTTCCACTTGCTCTTGAAGAGGGTCTGGTATTTTTGTTTGGTTCCCTGCTGCACTGACCACCCTCACTCCGAGCCCTGGACGGAGGTCGGTTCTGGGTTGTGACGTCTTGACTAGAAATATTGCTGGCCGCATCATCTTCATTGGAGGGAGAATAACTGCCTTTTTTTCTTTTTAAAATACTTTTCATCTTTTTTCCTTTACTTGATATGTAGGAAACTTCCTCATCAAATGAATGTTCCAAATGCGAGTGATTCTCTTCAAGTTTATCATCAGCAACAGGTGGATTTGACATCAAGTCATCAAAAAGTTTCCTCTGTTGGGAATCAATCCAACCGTAAGGGTCAATGTCATGCCCATTGGTCAGATGTCCATTGGTTTTAGCATAAATATCTCCCACTGAGTGATGTTTCCTAAACTGACCTTGACTTGTATTTAGAGGCTGTGGCTTGCGGAGATAAGACTGTGATTTTGACTTTCCTGACACGGATGAAGCTAATGCTGGGTACTGCGGTGGTTTGGGTGGGCCATCATGCACTGGGAGCCCATTGAACAAGTGAAGTTTTTCAGACATTACTGAATCCTTCCCTCTGTCTCCTGGGGACACTTCAGTTTCACTTACACTGTTACTTTTGGGACTGTCATAGCTATAACTAAATGTCGAATCCCTGTTTCTACTGGCAGGACGATCTGCAGATCTAGATCTTCTTTGTTTTGAGGCCGGTAATAAACTGTCCGAACTATTGCTGCCACTAAGTATTAATTCTTGAGATATTTCTCCACTGAAATTACCCTGATTTGCTTGTTGTTGGCCTGTGAATGAGTGTCTCAACCCATTGAGGGAAGGTGGAATGGAAGCTTTGGAACTCACACTGGAAGTTTGCTGGTCTCCTCCAGTTTCAAGACTAATATCATGTGAAATGCCTAACCTTGGATCAGAGTCATCAAGCTCATCATCACCATAATCTGCTGCCTGAAGGTGGCGCTGATCAGAAAATTCTAAAGACAAACCTGTCGAGTTTTTAGGTCTAGCACCTTGTTGATACCATTTCAGCTTTTCACTCAAGGCTTCTTCTGATATGGCACTAAACAGAAAACAATCAAATGGAAATAATATGACAGCATTTGACTTTTTCCAATGTACGTTATTAAACTTATCAAGTGAACAGAGATATGTGAGCTAAAGAATGTGATTATATGAACATGATGTCCTGATCTGTAAATCTATATAAAAGTTTCTATCTGAACACAAAGGTCACAATTAACCTACAATCAATTATGAAAACTAAAGCTGGACTTTTCTTTATTTTGATAAAGAAGACTGTGATGATGAAGGACAGAGGATCATGTAAAACTGGGCTCACCCCTGCATAAAATATTGAGCCTGATACTAAACAACTTCATAAAAATATAAAACGTTTCCATATTTTCATCATATATTTAATGAATCAAGATAAAATGCTGGTTAGTGAAGAACTGTCAAGCTATCTGACTAAAAGACAACATTCTTCAGTGAGTCAAGTTTAGTTAACTTCAATTTATCAAGCCATTGTGTTTCCCAGAAAAAATCAAAGTTTTCACCAAATTTCTCACCATTATGGTTCAAAATGCTATTAAGACTAAGTCAAAGAGTGTCCAGCTATCTAATGAAAAGACAATACACAATAGGACTTGTTCTGATAACTTACCTGTCCCTGTGTTTTGATGACACGACCAGCTGTATGTTGTGGTCAGCCTTGAGAGGACCACACCTGCCACCATGGCTGGTCAAGGTTTTCTGTGTGTTCCTGAAGTTACTCTTGGCCAGGGAGATGTTCACCCCAGGAGACATCTTGGGTGACAAGCTGGGTATGAAAAGAAATTAAAGAAAGTCTGATAAATAAATAAAGAGTATGAGTGGTTCAAACAACAACTGTCAATTTATCTTGAATTGAGGAAGAAACCTTTATATGACAAAAAGTTTAATTTTCCTGGAAATTTTTGCTATTCTCACTTAACTAGTAAGGTGTAGAATATTCAAAACCATGAACAAAATAACCAAGTAGACACCAGTTTATGAGTTAAAAATGGTGAATTTCACTTTGATCTCAAAGACAGGTTTCCAGATTGCAATTATTTTTCTACATGGTTAAGGATAGGGTATACCTTACAGATAAATGAAAATTTCTAAAATTAAAATTCTTCCTTTTTTTTTTGTTGCTGCACACAAATCTAATCAATATGTGTATTGTATCATGCTAAACTTAATCTCATCTGTGACTATTGCAATTACTAGTAATATAATTCTCAAAAAAATTCTGAAGTATCTCTCCTTTTTTTAAACAGTTAGCTCTCCATTGTGCTGAAGCAAAACCTCTACTTACTGTATTCAACATCTACAGAGGGAATAGAATTTAACATACAGATACAGGGCTGTATATGTCTTTACTTACACACTTAATTCATGTCTTGGAGACAGCAAGCTCTCCTGTTCAGTTGATGAGACAGAGTCACCTCGCACCAAATGCAACTTTGGCTTTTGATAGGCTTGAGCAATACCAGAGTCTGCATCTGAATCTGAAAGTTAAAGTGAAAAACTTTGTCCTAAGCACCTTTTTTAGAAACAGGACACACTGAAATTATTTTGATTCTAAGCTGAACATCTAAAAAAACTTCATGTAAATTTCACTGTTTCAAAGCATTCAGATCTGTAGCATTCATATACAAAATATAAAATACCAATTATTAAAAAAAAATCTAAAAATTTGAACCTTGACAGAACAGCTCACCTTTGTTTTGAGTGACAACTGTCTCTTCCCCAGCTATTGATTTCTGTAAGTCATTCTGTAGAGCCTGTTTCAAGAGCAGATCTTCAAGCTGGTCCGTCTTGATCAAACCATTAGCACCACCTGGTGATAGGGATGACAGTTTTCCAGATTTGCCGGATGATTCTGTGGATGGGTTTTCACATGGAGAAATATCTAATGATGGATTTGAATTAACTGATCCATTATCAATTTCCACAGCACTATCATGAGAGTCTGGGCTAGCCAACCTTGTCTTATATTCATGTCTCTGCCTAGGCCGACCTCTCGGCTCTTCACTGTTTCTAGTCAGTAAACCCTCTTCTCTTGAAATCAATCTGCTTTTGAGATTCTGTAACTTGGAAGTCCTTCCATCAGATGAGATAACATTTTCACTTTCATTAATTTGGCAATTTTGAGAATTTTGTGAATTTCCATGATCAGTCTTTCTACTTGGGGGCCTTTCTTTGGATAAATTCCTTAGTCTTGTTTTTAATGGTGAATCAAGGAGTTCTTTAAGAGTCTGAGAATTACGTCTTAATTTTTCTTTTAACGAGATGGCTGAATGATCATGCGGACCCTCTGGGGGGTTCAATATTGGTTTGTTTGTAGAGTCAGTGAGTGGAGAATGGTGGGGAGAGTGTTCTGGAGATTTGAACGAATTTTTCTCAAAGATGCTGGCACTACCTGGCCTGGGCACAACTTGGCCAGCATGTTCATTAGAATGTCCAGTTATGTCGTCAGCTGATTTATATGGAAGACTGCAGGCACTTGAAGGCCGAGCTGCCAATGTTCTATCACCTATAAAGGAGAGTTTTGTCAATGGTGAGGTCTTTGGAGAAATTGATGCAGCAGCAGCAATTCTTGATGGACATGACTTTGAATTGCTTGAAGAATTTTGTTGGCTCTCTGACCTGGCTCGACCCTGTGATCCATTTAACGACGAGGAGAACCCAATACTGTTTATGATTAGTTCATTATCATGTGATAACCTTGACCCTGCTGTGTCACCCTGTGGTCCCCTTGATGATGGCCTTGACCTTAAAGGGTCTGAAACTGAACCATTGCTATGTAATAACCTTGACCCTGCAGTCTCACCCTGTGGTCCCCGTGATGATGGCCTTGACCTAATTCTATCTGGACTCTGTTGCTTTTCAAAGACATGAGAGTATTTTTTCATCAAATCCTGGTAAAAAGGAGAGGCCAAACGGGGATGTTTACTTGGTGATAGACCCCGTGTCTCTTTGGTTGCAGTAGCCATCTGAAGAGAGAAAAGATACTCTTTTTATCAGTGGTTACTCTCTCTCTCTCTATATATATATATACAAATACTAGTATTCAATCACTATTAAGTTATAAAACATTCACTGATTTATTTTTTCTTAAACTCTCAATCCATGATCTTCCATGTGACTTAATAATGGCTTTAATAGAGGGAAAATGTCATTTTCTATTTCAAAGAATTTTAACAACTGCTATCAACATATGAAGCTGTATCTGCCACAGGGAGGTGAAAACATCTAAAGCAAGTGTTTGAATCAGGGCACAATATATGGCAGACATATTGTGCTCTATTGTAAACTACACTGACAAGTGGTGGTGTGTGGCAAATAAGAACCTAGACATAACTTTATACTTTACTTTTTAGGTATAGAAATTACTACAACAGGGTATCTACAAATTCTTTTAAGGCACAGTTAAGATTTGATCAGCACAAAAATGAGATAAGCTTTCATTTTACTCCCTTGGCACTGGGGATCATAGCTTTGGAAAAAAAGGTTTAATGAAACATATGGGATTTAATCAATACCAATGTCAATATTAAATTTCATGTATTTATCTTTGTTTTTCACTTCATTTTGTCTGATCACTCTACTGGGAAGCATATCAATGATAGTCTGATCAATAGAACTCTGTCAAGCAGTTAATGTAAATAGATATTGGGTTAATTAAAAACAAATATTTGAGGCTTAATACTTGGATATTGCCCAAGGGATAGACAAGAGTTACCTCAAGTCTGAAAAAAATACATCATATTAAACAAATATACTACTTTTACATCCATTTTTCATTTGATCAATAGCTCAAGTACACATAGCTATCAGCCATTATAGCCATTAAAAACCATGAGAGTTTCAACTGCAATGACCCTCTGCTCTGTGCACTTTCACCACCATACTTCATCATTTTCTGACATATTGTTCAAAGCATAGCACACAGTTAAAGCAGGTCAACGGAAACACATGACAGCTCTATAAAGGCTGCCACCACTTTATAAATGAACTTGAATACATCAGAGCATGCTTTACAGCAGGTCGATGAAAGCATAGCTGACAGCTTCATAAAAGACTGCCACAGTTTTATAAATGATCGTGGATTTATTAAGTTGCTTGGATTTTTCTCCATTGTGTGAATTATATATATATATAATAGAAAGATATATTGGTTTTCTTTAGATATTACAATGAACAAAAAAATTAACTGCTTATCATATATAAGAGATCAAATTTAATAATACAAGATTTGACTCACTTAAAAAGATATTTTGTAGGGTGTTCACCAATATTGATCAAATCACTTAATTCTCCCAAACTAATATGCAAAAAATATCATTCTCAAGGCTACCACTAGCCAATACCAAATGCAAAATCAAACCTGAAATTAGCTAACAGAAAAAAGGGAGCTTTTAAATCAATTTTTCACCAGGATAACTCTGATTTTGTGTAAATACAAATACAAATAACACTTTGTATATGACATGGATTTTCACTGTTATTAAATTATTTACATTACAAGAGTGGGCTTATCACAGTTCAATGTGTACCAGGGCAAATATTTATAAATCCATTTCAAGTCAAGAAATGTTAAATAATGTAATACTATTCTTGGAGACAGGAATTCAAATCAAATCACTATAACATCAACAGTCAATGATCCCTGTTACTGTTGTAGAACATGGTGACTAGAAACTATATGCCACTGTGGATGTTGAAAACATAATTTCCAGACATGGTGAATCTTGCAAACACACAAGAATACAAGTACCACTAATACCTATGTCTTGTTCTCAACATTTGTCATAGTGTAAGTCAGGCATACACACAACACTTGACAGCAAGAAGTATGCTTGGCAATGCTGGGATAGCGCTAGCAGATTTTTCCCCTAACCATATCACCACATTTTTGTCAATTTGTTATCAAAATGGTTATAATTTGACTAAAACATGTCAAATCTAGCCCTTTTTCTTTAGCCAATTTCAGTCAGTTTTAGCATTTGGCTAAATTGCCGAGTGTTAGCGCTACCCCAGCAATGTTATACCACATACACTGCCCCTACTCGTTGTGTATCTATTCCTTAGAAATTTCATTGCATGTGACTGTCATAAAAGCACCCTTAATTTCAGAGTGCTGAAAGTGACTTTCCTCTCCGCAACTCTGGCTCTCCCTCACACTGTTCAACATACTTGATACCTACGGGTACACTGTTGAAGACTATTGATATAAGCTTACCAAAGCAAACACATCCACTGCTACTTCACAATCAGAACAAGAAAACCATATCAGCTCAACAACTCGCATTCTGGATACTAGATCAGAATTCAATGAGGGGATTAACTCAATATCTTTGTGGTTAAGTCCTTATCACTGTCTGATATAAATTTTTACACACAATCACTCAACTTTAGTAGACAGATTTTCAAAAATGTGGAAGATAAATACAATTTATTGTAAAAATTGTATTATTCATTCTGAATTGCAATACTTGTAAACTTATTAATGCTTTCAATGTTTCATGAATTGTCAAAATTCTAGTGTTAACCACTTGTCATTTTCCTTTTCTTCTTGCCTCATTGGTAAAACAGTTCAAAACTTTCTTGGAAAAAGATGAAAAAAATAAGTAATTACATTGCCTTATTAATTCAGTTGATTAGCAGAGACCTTGATAAAAGTCACCACATAAATGAATTTATAAAAATATTGAAAGCCAAAGAATTGAAGTGTGTGTGTGTGTGTGTGTGTGTGTGTGTGTGTGTGTGTGTGTGTGTGTGTGTGTGTGTGTG